GTGGCAGGCAAAAGCATAGAGAGAGAAATGTACCCATTCTAAAACCTGCCACTGTGATTGATTACAACAACCTTCAACATGCGTTCAGTGAAAAATGTGCATGCAAGATTGGGTTTGCTGAATTTGTGTTCGTCAAGAGTTAGAGTGGGTACATCAAACTGTTTTTTTCCATCTTCCCCTGGAACATTTTCCATGCTCAATGCTTATAATAAGTGTAAGATGAGCACCAAAAACAAACCACAAGTACGGGCAAATTTCTGTTTTGTGTCATCAGAAGACAAATAGTATTCAAGTACGCAGAACAGCACCTGCAATTGACCTCCCACCAAATTATCAACAACTACCTCTCGTCTGAAGCATGGTGATCACTCCTGGTAAACTGCCTGCTAACTGCTTTGAAGAAAAAGCTCGAGGAGGTTTACTCCGTCCATACAAGAAAACGCACACAAACAACGCAGAGACACTCGTTTTATGTGTGAGGAGTGCAAAACCCACTGTGCATACCACCATGTTTCAAAGAGTTCACACAGCTGCAGAACTTTTTTTAGAAACATTCCTGTGTCTGTATATATGTATACTAAACTATAGAAAAATAAATAAAAAACTACATTTCATATTGTTTGTTTCTGTAAATATTTTCCTTAAACAAAATAATGACAACAGTGTTTACGCCCTTGATTGTGTAGTATTGAAAAAGAAAAACTTTACAAATACTGATCATTTGGCCTCAGAGGCCATAAAAGTTACTCAGAAAAAGAAAAATTGAAAAATAATTGAAAATTAGTACATAAGAAAGTAAATAGAACAAATACCGGTGACGGCAGGTCCGCGATGTTACCTATTTTTCAATTTTGGCAAAATTTCACACCTCCATACTATCTCGGTAAGTATTGACGATTTAAAATTGTTTTGTTTAGCCTAATAATGTTTAGAAAAAAAAACTCTATTTTTTTTTTTTCATACGAAAAAAAAATTTTTTCTTTTTGAAATTTGGCCGACCCCTGAGAACGAGTTTCGGAGAGGGCCTGTCGACCCCCCTCATATGGTTAACCCTTGAGGGTTTCGACGTACTATACGTCTACGCGTAGGGGTTTTTTTTTGACTGACGTACTAGTACTCATATATTATAAGCGAACCATCAAATCTTGTGGGAGAAAGTAGCTGGAGGCCTATCATAGAAAGAATGGGTCTATGTGGCATGTGCACAGTCTAAAAAAAAAATCCTGCAGCACACATGTCATAATTAGAAAAAAAAAAAAATTTTCCCATTTTTTTTTTAATTAAATCAGCGACTTTGCAGTGTATTTTCTTATGGTATTTATTGTTGTATTCTAGTTTTCTTTCTTGGTCTCATTTTATAGAATGGAAAACATATTACGAAATTGCGATGAGTTTTGACCTGGTTTTACAATAAAGCAAGGTGCTTGAAATTGAGCTCTAAGTAGCAGAAATGTGTCGATTTTTTTAATCACAAACTCAAAAAAGTAAAACAAAAAATCGTGCCAAGCGTGCAATCGCACGTCAACTGGTGAGGGTCTAATTATTCTTTCACAAGTGCAATCCAATCATATTTTATAACATTTTTTTACACTAATGCAGTAGTCTGCATAACAAGTAAATCTTATATTTTTGTAGAAATAAAAATTCAAATCAAAGTGAAACAAAAGAATATAAGAGGGCCCCTTGAGACGTGAACTAATGACTAGAGGAAATCATTTTCAGTGACGAGGAATGTCCCTTCTTTCTTGTTATTCTGACCCTATGCCGAAATTGGCCATCTTTTGAAATTTGTGCGAAATTGGCAAAAATTGCTAAATTCTGACCACTGTACTGAATAGGTTGAATTATATAAATGGGTTGGTGTTTCGTGCACCCATTCGATGAGAAAAAATGGAGTTCTAACGAAATATTCATGTTTTTTTTTGTCGACTAGTACAGAGGAAATTGGCCGAAAATGGGGCTCAAATGGGCAACATCGCCGATCCTAAACATAGCCGAGGAAACGCTAACGTTGGGCGAGAGCATAATTCCGTAAGTTTTCTATCAAATTTCAAACAAACTTTGGTGTCGTTATGATCGGTAAAAAATAGGGAAGATTTCTCTAATCGTTTCATAAGAGAAAATAATTTTTTTTTTTTTTTTTAAATTTGGCCGATCCTGAGAACTGAGTTTCGAAGGGCCGGCCCGACCCCAAAGGTTGAATTAAAATTGAAAAATTATGGAAAAAAATGTTTTCTTACCGAAAAATAGTAAAAAATTCTGGCAACATTTTGACGTAATCTGCTTGTTTCTAGCATATTTCTAAGTATGTTTTACATTAAATGTATTTTTTTTGTTGCTGCGTCAGCAAAATACATGTTGGCAATAGTTTTTTTTTTTTGTTTTTTCCGTCCAAAAATTTTTTCGATTTTTTTTAATGATTGGTTTCATTGTAAATACTCACATGGCATTTCTGTGCTGGCTAGTGGGGGGATGCAGTGGAAGCGATCCCACCCTCAGTAGCCTGCAGGCTGTCAACAAGCAAGGAGAGGTGCAACACACTCAGATTTGGCATGCCGTAACCATAGAGTTTCACACCAAACAAAATTAATAATAAATCAGAAGTAAGTTATTGCCATTGTAATCCCTCTCCTGCGATAAGTATTAATAGGATTGTCATGATTTTTGCAATGTTATTGAGGAATGATGGTTCTACAAACACCCAGGATGGATTTGTGATACTGTTTACAGCTTTGCTTTTAATAATTTTTTTGTACACAAAAAAACAAACAAAATTACTAACTTCAACATTTTTTTTATGGAATCTACTGACATTATCGCTAAACTGTCCTGGGTCATTAATAATCTAGCCTTTATCTTTCATCTTATGTCAACTAGAGCATTGTACATCTTCCCAATTTAGTGGAAGAAGTCCTAGGACCCATAAAATTGTGCAAAATTAATTTTTTTTGTAATTTGAAGGCTAACAGTCAAAACAGTCTATATGTTTTTTATGCCGCTTAACCCCTTCAGGGTCCAAGGCCCAAATCTCAAGTGGTGCCCCAGTGTCCAAGAATTTTCAAAAAAAAAAATAAATTTGTTATTTTTTCTTATGAAATGGTAGAGAATCTTTTTGTGAAGGTAATAAAACAAAAAGTACGAAATTTGATGGAAAATTGACTAAATTATGCTCTCGCGAATTTTGATGTGTCAGCGATATTTACGAATCGGCGATTTTGCCGACTTTGACTCCCATTTTAGGCCAATTACATTATTCCAGCCAACCAAATTCTTAGCTATTTCACTAGTATTACTTCTATTCTATCGATTGAGCACAAGAAATTGCCAAGTCAACTGTTTCAAATAAAAATTAAAAGTGATCGGAAATTGTTAATTTGGCCAATTTAACACAAAGTTCAAAATATTCCAATTTCAAAATACGGTCCAGAATAAACAATGTAGGTATTCCTGGAACTAAACTAACATTTCCTCTGTTCATTAGTTACGTTTTGAGGCTTTACAAATAAATTCCATTATTATTTTTTATTTGCATAATGAATTTTTATTCACACCAAAAAATAGAAGATTTACTGTTATGCAATACTGTAATAATTGCATAAATATCATCACCACATTTGTGAATGTATATTAGACCCACCAGCTGGCGTGTATTAGACGTGTGAGGTCGTTTGTTTACTCTTGAACATCAGCAAAAATTTAACATTTCTGCTACTTTGAGCTCAGTTTCAAGTCATTTCCAGTGCTAAAACCAATCAAAATCATCTCTATTTCTGTAATATGTCTTCCATTCTATCAAATGAGATCAAGAAATCGCAAATACAACTATAAAAAACATACGAAAAAACACTGCAAAGTCGCTGTTTTAATCAAAAAATCATGATTTCAGTTTTTTTTCTCTCATTATACACAGTGTGCTGCAAGATCTGTTTTATGTGGTGCACACATACCACATAGATGTATTCTCTCATATCTAGGCCCAAATGTACCACTCACAGTTTAATCAGAGTGAGCTGAGCTCATGACGTAGATCTACGGTTTGGACCCTGAATGTAAAGCCGTAGATCTACGGGACGGACCCTGAAAGGGTTAATCCACTGTCACAATCCCATTGATATCTGATAAAAGAAAAAAGTTGGTGATTCTGCTCGACCCTCCCGTAAGTTGAGCAATAAAGTAAAGAACTTGTTTGAAAGCAGTTTAGGAATGCATAACAAACATATGGAGGGCCTCCTTAGTAAGTGTCATTTTGCCCTAAATAAGGCTTTGTGAAGTCCTGCATAAACAAAGCCCTATTTAGGAAAAATTATTGCTTAATAAAAAGGCTTTCTCTGCTGCCATTTACATTCCACATTTGGTGGCACACTAAAAGCAACTTAAACTTAAGGAGGGAAATAAATGGCCAACAATTTGAGAATTCATATGGAGTGCTAAATTTATACAAGGGATTTAGCAGAAGCATCCCACCAAGGAAGATCAACCCAAAAGAAGGAAGCACATTTACCTTCATTCATTCAATCAGTCTTGCCAGAAGCGTGCTGACATTACAATTCGGATTACCCTTCAACTGCAATATCACCAACACCTCTCTTCACGAGTGCAGGCACTGTCCTTCCCACCTATGGTTTTCCCAAATCCCTTCATGAATGTTATTTAGCTCACACACCAGCAGTCATGTATTTTCATGGCTACAAAATCATTATGATGGATGGGTGCTGCCATAAAACAAATGAAAATATGACAAGAATATGGAGCAACAATGTATGTATACAGAAAACAGAAAATGGCCTCAACTATTGATAAAATTGAGAATCACATTTAAAATAAAAAGGGACAAATATTTTTTTTTAGCATCAATAACAGGTAGAACAAGAGATCACAATAATTAACTAAAAAGAGTGGTGCCAAACAGATACAAGAACTAAGTATTTTTCATAAAATAAATGACAAACTACTAGAATGAGATTCAAGAGGAGGTAGTGTGTTACAACCAATGTACTCACCTAGCTCAGGATGTTCTTGAATCCATTCAATGTTGCTTTGCATTCTTGTGCATAAATGAAGAGGATCAAATTCTACTTCCATCAACTTATATAGATTCTGGAGCTCTATAGGAACCGCTGTCACCACATTGAAACGGATCAGGTCCCTTTTCATAAATAAAAGATAAAGACTTGGGGTTAAAGAATATTCAATTAATATTGCATTGTGAATACTATAATACAAGTCTAAAGAATTAAGAAGCATCAGTAACTTTGTTACAATCTTATGGGTCACATCAGACAGTGTATGCTATAAAATATTTGTATATCTGGAAATGATCAGGGTTTGTCATTGATTTTTTTTTTCCAAATATCTTTAGGCATATTAAGGCAACTGTTTTCTATTCAGCATGTGCATCATTTAACTTGCACTTCATATATTTCTGCATCAACAAAATTTTTCAGAAATCTTAATACTGTACAGACTCTCCTCGCTTAGAGATGTACTCGTTTACCGACTTGGACTTATGACGGGCTCTCTGACCAGTATACAAACCTAAATAATGTATACTGAAGTTAATTTCCTCTATTCTGTATATTAAAATACAGTGGAACCTCATTTTTCATCATTGTGTTCCAGAAAGTCTGACGAAAACCGGACTCGGCGAAAACTGAAGCAACATTTCCCATAAGAAATAATGTAAATCCAATTAATCTGTTCCAGACACCCAATAGTATTAACAAAAAATACACGTTATAGAGGAGGGACATGGAGGAATATGTTGGGTATCTTTATACGTATATACTTCTAAACTGTTGTGTCCTGGGCACCTCTGCAAAAACAGTGAGTATGTATGTGTGAGGTGAAAGTGTTGAATGATAATTAAAGTATTTTCTTTTTGGGGATTTTCTTTCTTTTTGGGTCACCCTGCCTCGGTGGGAGACGGCCACCTTGTTAAAAAAAAAAAAGAACTAGTTTTACATACAGAAAACAATGAAATATAAAGAACTAATGAAATGGATAAATGAACATTTAATATCACATTTACCTTTATTGAAGACTCTTGCTGGCATATAGAAGACCCGAGGAGGGGAGAGGGAGGAGAGATTATTGGTTGGAAGGGGAATCCCCCTCCACAACGACTTCAGGTATTGTAATAAAGTTGGTAGAATTACCGACAATATGTAAAGTAAAAGGACACAAGTGAAACTAATGTGACTATTTATTGTGGCAACGTTTCGCTCTCCAGGAGCTTTATCAAGCCATTACAAACAATACATGGACACAGAAGGTATATATAGGCTCAGAGTGAGGTACAATACTGGTGGCGGCGGCGGCGGCAGCGGCAGCAGCAGTAGTAGTAGTAGTAGTGACAAAGGTTGTAGTAGCAGTAGTAGTAGTAGTAGTGACAAAGGTTGTAGTAGCAGTAGTAGTAGTAGTAGTGACAAAGGTTGTAGTAGCAGTATTAGTAGTAGTAGTGACAAAGGTTGTAGTAGCAGTAGTAGTAGTAGTAGTAATACAATATGGTAGAGCAATTAATTCGTACATGAGTAAATGGATATAAAAGCTATTACTGTTACCCAAGCAATAGCTTTTATATCCTTTTACTCACGTACGAATTAATTGCTCTACCATATTGTATTACTACTACTACAACTTTTGTCACTACTACTACTACTACTACCACCACTAGTATTGCACCTCACTCTGAGCCTATACAGTGGACCCCCGCATAACGATGGCATCACATAGCGATTTTTCCGCATACCGATTACTTTTATCGCAAAATTTTTGCCGCGCATACCGATTAAAAACCCGCTTACCGATTTTCGTCCGAGACGCGTCCAATGTGCCCTCAGCCAGCCTCACATGTGCCGGCCGTCCCATTGTTTACCAGCCAGCCTCCGCGGTAACATCCAAGCATACACTCGGAATATTTCGTATTATTACAGTGTTTTCGGTGCTGTTTCTGGAAAATAAGTGACCATGGGCCCCAAGAAAGCTTCTAGTGCCAACCCTGTGGTAAAAAGGGTGAGAATTAGTATGGAAATTAAGAAAGATTTTGAAGGGTTTGGGGCTAACCCTGAGAAGCCTATGCCAGTTGTGGAATCCATTGTGCCTACTTCAAAGATTAAGGAAATGTGTGCACAGTGGGTTGAACTGCAAACCTTTATAGATGAAAATCACCCTGACACAGCTGTTGCAAGCCGTGCTGGTGACTATTTCAATGACAATGTTGTGGCCCATTTTAGACAAATCGTAAAGGAACGGGAGGTACAGAGCTCTATGGACAGATTTGTTGTGCGACAGAGGTCCAGTGACTCTCAAGCTGGTCCTAGTGGCATTAAAAGAAGAAGGAAGTAACCCCGGAAAAGGACTTGCTACCTCAAGTCGTAATGGAAGGGGATTCCCCTTCTAAACAGTAAGAAGATAATGCTCTCCCCTCCTCCCATCCCATCAATCATCACCAGATCTTCAATAAAAGTAAGTGTCATTTAATTGTGCATGCCTTTTTCAGTTTGTGTGTATTAAAATTAACATTTCATGTGGTAAAAAAAAATTTTTTTTCATACTTTTGGGCGTCTTGCACGGATTAATTTGATTTCCATTATTTCTTATGGGGAAAATTCATTCGCATAACGATTATTTCGCATAACGATGAGCCCTCTTGCACGGATTAAAATCGTTAACCGGGGGTCCACTGTATATACCTTCTGTGTCCATGTATTGTTTGTAATGGCTTGATAAAGCTCCTGGAGAGCGAAACATTGCCACAATAAACGTCACATTAGTTGCACCTGTGTCCTTTGACTTCAGGTATAAAGTCCCTATCCGGGGATACTTCCCTTCTTTGTCTTTTACTGGCACTGGATCCCTGTCACACAAAAAATCTGTCCAGAGAGATCTGTTTCTGGCATCTCTAAGATTTTCCTAAAATGGGACAAGGCACTGTCATTGAACATGCAGACACGGGTTGCAACAGCTTTCTTAGGGCGATATTTCTCCACAAAGCTTTGTAACTCACTCCACTTTACACACATGTCAAACAGTGAAGAAGGCACATTCTCCCCTCTCTCTTCCTCCTTCTCTGAAGCAATTTCCTCAGCTGAACTCTGTTGCTGTTCCTGTTGAAGGTGCTGCAGCTCTTCAGCAGTTAGCTCTTCCCTGTGGTCACCCACCAACTCTTCCACATCCTGGCCACTCATAACCAAACCCATGGACTTCCCCTAACCCACAATAGATTCCACAACAGGCATAGGATTGTCAGGGTCAGCCTCAAACCTTTCAAAATCCTTCTTTATCAAAGGGCTGGCACTCGAAACTTTCTATGGCCCCATGGTGGCTTATCTAGCAGTCCCACTCAATAAACAAGCACTAAAACAATGGATTATAACAAAATGTTTCAGATGAATGCAAAGGGTAATGCTCAATCGATGAGAAACAAAACCAGACTGACTCAGAACATGTGGAATGTTTTGTGTGGGCGCAGGCAAGCGGACACGTTCAGTACAGCAGACTGACAAAAACAAGGTGATTAACACTGGGACAAAATTGACGAAGAGTGTCACTGAAAACTGAATTCGAAGAAAGCCAGGGCAAACGAAAACTGACGTTCCACTGTATACAGTATCAAGGAATGATTACATGTGTGTTTGGTAGCGAGGTTCAATGACAAGGCTTCAGAGGCTTCGTTCCCTTATTTGGGTTCATGGTACACAGGCAGTGTGTTCAAGTGCCCTGGGTGACCCAGAGGGCCATGCCCGTGAGGGAGAGAGTAGTAGTGTGCTGTTGATTCTAGGTTGAGTTGGCAGCAAGTGAGAGGCAGGAAGGCTTGGGCATACCCACCCAGAGACCTGCCCTCTGGCAGAAACTATGAAAACTAGCTATGTAGGCTTACTGAGTGCATTTTGCTCGGCTACCTACCCATGGTCGTCCTCGACCATGATTGGCTGTAAAAAAAAAAAAACTCGCTCGCAGGAACAGGGCACAGAACACAATAAAAACATATACAGTGAAACCTCCACTTGTGAGCGCATCCACATGCAAGTTACTCCAAATATGAGTAGTCGCTTGGTCGATTTTTTGCTTCCATATACGAGCGAAATTTCCATGAGCAAGCAGGCCTCAAGGGAGATTCCTTGATGGTGAGAGGCTCTTGATCTAAGGATTTGGATCTCATTTGTTTGTTGGACTATCTTATTGAAACTTGGGCAATGTATGACGGAAAGATCTTTCTTAAAATAGGTACACCAAAATTGAAAGAAATCGGACCATAAATAATGGAGTTCACTTCAGTCATTAGCCGCCTCTTAGCGGTATTTTCATATGGTTTTATTCTCGTTTTTTTTGGTCTCATTTGATAGAATGGAAGATACATTACAGAAACAGATATTATTTTGATTGGTTTCACAATGAAAAGTGCCTTGAAATTGAGATCCAAGTAGCAGAAATGTTTGATTCTTTGGCAATATTCAAGAGTGAACATTCCAATATGCAGTCATGAACGGGTTGATATTATTTATACAGTTACAATAATGCAGTAGTCTTCATAACAGTAAATCTTCTATTTTTTGTGTGAATAAAAATTACAAATTATTTATATTGTAATAATATAATAATAATACGTTATAGGTAGCAGGCTGGTAGACAGCAACCACCCAGGGAGGTACTACTGTCCTGCTAAGTGAGTGTAAAACGAAAGCCTGTAATTGTTTTACATGATGGTAGGATTGCTGGTGTCCATTTTTTTTTTGTCTCATGAACATGCAAGGTTTCAGGTACATCTTGCTACTTCTACTTACACTTAGGTCGCACTACACATACATGTACAAGCATATATATACATACATACCCCTCTGGGTTTTCTTCTATTTTCTTTCTAGTTTTTGTTCTTGTTTATTTCCTCTTATCTCCATGGGGAAGTGGAACAGAATTCTTCCTCCGTAAGCCATGCATGTCGTAAGAGGCGACTAAAATGCCGGGAGCAAGGGGCTAGTAACCCCTTCTCCTGTATATATTACTAAATGTAAAAGGATAAACTTTCATTTTTCCTTTTGGGCCACCCCGCCTCGGTGGGATACGGCCGGTTTGTTGAAAGAAAATAATAATACGTACAACAACAACAACAACAACAACAATAATAATAATAATAATAATAATAATAAT